CTGCTGCTGCTGCGGGGTCCGCAGCAGCAGCAGCAGCAGCAGGAATCCGCACTTGAGTGTGTTTTGGATCTTTTTTTATTAAATGGTCTTCAGGTAATTTCGAAAGAAAAGCTCGCCAGAAGTTTCGAACAAATCTTATCTTCGTGGCGTAGTCGCTCTCCAACACCCCGCACCTATCCGCAAACCCTAAACCCTAAACCCTAAACCCTAAACCCTAAATCCTGCAGTCTTAGGTTTACCCGAGCTGCAGCGGAAGCAACGAGAGAACCACGGACTCCAGGCTCAAACCCTAGACCCCACGAAACCCACGCCCCAAACCCCAACCCCCAAACCCCAACCCCCAAACCCTAAACCCTAAACCCTAAACCCTAAACCCTAAACCCTAAACCCTAGCTCACCAGAAGTTGGCCACTTCTTCGGCCTCGGGAGGCAAAGAAACTGTTTCTCCTTTATAGCGAATGCAAACCCCGTGGGGTTCGTAAGGAGGAGAAAACATCAAGCCGTGGTGCTCCAGGTACTGCCACTGAAACGCAAACCCTAAACCCTAAACCCTAAACCCTAAACCCTAAACCCTAAACCCTAAAGCCAGAATGCGGAGAGTTAAACAATATTATTTTGCACATCGGAACAAACCCAAATTTAGCTGCACGACGTTCTTTTCTAATTGAGATAAGACTCTTTCCCGCCACCCCCAAACCCCAAACCCTAAACCCTAAACTCTAAACCCTAAACCCTACTTTGCCTGGACTACACTATTTTCTTGTTGGGGTAAACCCTTTATGCATTCTCAAACACTGGACCCCGAGCGCTGAACCCCAAACCCTAATCCCCAAAACCGCAGGCCCAAACCCTAAACCCTAAACCCTTATTTAGGGTTTAGGGTTTACCTGCACGACATTATTTTCGAGCTGGGACAAATCCTTTTCCCACCACCTCGAAATGGGCTCAAAGTTTTCCTCTGTTTTAGTGTATTTATTTCTTCTGCGAATTCCTGCAGGAGAAGGAGAAGCTGAGGGTCTTGCTGCTGCTTTATTTGCTGCTTCTGCTGCTGCTGCTGCTGCAGTTGCTGCTGTCGCTGCTGCTGCTGTTGCTGCTGCTGCTGGTGCCGCCGCAGCCGCAGAGCCCTCTGCCTTCACGC